AACCCCCAAATCCCTAAACCCTAGACCCTCAAACCCTAAATCCCTAACCCCTAATTCCTAAGACCTAAACTCTAAACTCTGAATTTCAGACTGCCAGCTGGATCTGATGTTGTGCTCGGACTTCCTCGACTGCTGATTGGACCCAGACAGGAAAAGGAGTCTAACGGGCACCCCAAACATAGAAACCTAAGAATGTAATGTCTAGGATTCAGGGTTTAGGGTGGGAACCAAGAATGTAGTAGGAATATCATAGGAGGTACATTCCTATCACGTTTGTACTATGTTCCTACTATGTGCTTGGGGATCCTGTTTGGGGTCCCCGTAAAGTCCTTTCAGCAAGAGGGGGTGCTGGGTACGGCCACCACCTGTGATGACTGGTAATACGGGCACTGTTGACATGGCAGTTTCTCAAAATAGGGGAACCCCAATATGTACCTCATTAATTTTCTTGGAACTCCCAAGCAAGGTACCCCTAATTTTGGGAAACCCCATACATAAGTGCGCAGTACCCAAATTATGTCGGAGTTTTGCCAAAGTATTCGTCCACGCAGGAATTGCACTGCAGGCACAGACTTCTAGGCAATCGTCAGCATTGCCAGTTGTACCTCCAAGATTTGAGGCAGAACATGCTCGGAACCCAAAATCAACAAAAAGCAAAACAAAAACCTCGAATCCCAAAAACCCTAAAACCCGAAAAACCCTAAAGCCCTAAAACCCCAGATGAACCCCAAAGAATCGCCGAGTATCGGGACGGACCAGCAGATGACTCGGATTCGCCGGCGGGTTCTTGACCTCTTAGGGGTTTCTTTGGGGTTTGGGATTTATATAAGGGGTTTATATAGGGAATATAGGCTAGGTAATATAGGGATAATGGAAAAGAAAATGGAAACTACTATTTAGGGTTTAGGGTTTATCTGGGAGTTTCTCAAAATTAGGGGTACCTTTGTTCGGGGTCCCCAGAATAAGGACAGGGTGAGAGAATCATTGCAGAATGGGGCAGAGATGCCACCGTATTGCTGGCAAATGGAGCGCCAAGCTTGGTCCGGAAGGGGTAGGCAGACCGTGAGGTCGGGGCCTGGACTGGCAAGACAAAGCAAGACGAAGGGCAACGGGCAGGATGAAGTCTGGCAGAGCGAGAACGGTGCAGCACTCTGGAGTCAAAGGACCCTGCGCCCCTTACACTAGAGCCCATACTGGCCCGAAGAACATCTGCTCCTGTTAGTTAGACCTGCTTGAGGCATCCGTGAGCCGCGGGAAACCTCCCAGGCACAGAACCGAGTGACGGCCACGCGGGTCATCTCAAACTTCATCATCTGACCTAGGCTATTCTGTTTCTCTCGGTTTGCTACGATGCCCGCCCCGCTATTTCAAACATAAGGCTTGCAACCTTATGAAATCTGAAAAAGACCCCATACCCTAGACTGCCCCACGGTCAAATCCCACTGTAAGCCTTAAACCCTAAGATCCCCAAGCAGCTGAAGGAATCCAAACAACAGGCGGGCGTCCATGAGTCCCAGGAGTGGGTCGATGTGCTAACTTGACCTCCAGAAGTTTAGGGCTTTGGGTCTAGGATTTAAGGGTTGCTTAGGGGTTTAGGGTTTAGGGTCTAGGATTATGGTTTAGGATTTCGGGTCTGACATTACGGGCTGGGGTGCCCCCCAGTTGAGGGTTTAGGGTTTAGGGGCTTAGGGTTGCGTTAGGCCACCACCGAGTCATAGTGGTGTGACAGGACTCCATAGGCACACTGACATACTTATCATTACCTGAACCCTAAACCCCACAGCCCACAAGCATCCCTTGTGGTCACTGTTACTCTATGGGGGCCCGACCTAAGGTGTAAGGCTTAAGTCTCTGATGAGCTTGACATTTTCTTAGGGTTTAGGGTTTATAGGGTCTGTAGGGTTTACAGGGTTTAGGTTTAGGGTTTTCACTGGTGGTGTGGGCAGGCGATAGCTTGCGGGCGAAATCTTGGAACGGCTTTATTAGTCGTACGATTCTAGGCCGCCTGGAAATATGGGTATTCCTCATCATGTTCTTTATTTATTCCCTTGTAATTGGGCCTATTGTTCTCATACAATCCCTCTTGATCCTTGGCTGGGGGCCCCCGCATTTGAGAAACTCCCAAAGTGCCCTAAACCCTACCTCCGCAGCCAATGAAGAGACTCCCTCATGATGGGAACGGGGGCTCCGAGTCCCTCAAGATTGATGGGCTTAGGGCTTACCTGGACCCCAAAAGTATGTGAAATAATGGCCTTTATAGCTACTATTATTTTACATACTTCTGGGGTTTAGGTAGGGTTTACACAGGGCTTAGGGGTTGAGGGTGTAGGTTGTTCACAATTGTGTTTTCAGCCTCAAGACCAAACCCATTCACTTGCATCGCATTGGCAACTTTGAGATACTTGTTTCTCTTTCATCCAGTTTCGACCCTGCTCAACCCTCAACATGTTTGAGCGCATCACGCTCTAGTTAGGGTGCAGGGCTGAGAGTGCGCAACCTCATTCATACTTCCCGGCACATAACTCGGAAAGCTCTCGTCATCATCCTAACCAGCACGACTCTGTTTAGTTCATCTTAACAAGGCCCGACGACACGACCAAGGTCCTTAAACGTTCCGTAGCATTCGTTCTCGATGAATTAAAGCTTGCAAATCAAAATGAGGTGTCCCCTTTCATAGTCATCCTTGTTGAGTATAGGATTTAGGGCGAGCAAGCCCAGTAACACAAGAAACCCCAGCACAGAACCCGACTAGAACCCTGAACAGCAAGCCCCAACTAACACTCAAAGCCCTTACAAATCATAAACCCTGCACCCCCAGAACCCCTAAATCCGGAATCCAACTGCCAGAACCCACGAGTCCATCGAGCGACGCGGCCGTCGCATATGTCCATACTCCAGCCCTCATCCGACACGCAAAGAGGCGCCAAAGCAAGCCTTGGTACATGGGTTAAGGGTTTAGGGTTTAGGGTTTGAGGTTTGAGGGGTTTAGGGTTTGAGGGGTTTAGGGTTTAGGGTTTAGGGTAGAAAGTTCATGGGATTTAGCATCTTGATATAATCGGGCTGTAATGGAAGAGGAGGAGCCCCTGGAAAAAGTTGTAGTTAACCCAGTCTACCATCAGGGTTTAGGGCTTTGTACCCAGGCAATGTTCACGCTTCTTTAAGAGACTGAAAAATAATCTTGGGTCCGTAGACGGGGAGTACGTACCCGAGCCTTTCGAGGTTGACATGTTAGCTCGCGATCACTAGGGGTCGGCTGTGAAGAGAACCTGTTTTCAGAGGCCGTAACTTTGACAACTCTCAACCCTGGACCTAAAACCCAAGAGCCTGAACCAAGAGGCCATAGCTGTAAAGCCTGCATCCTGAACATCAGAAACCTAAGCCGTACATGCACAACCTTAAACCATCTGAAACCTTTTTAACTTAGCTAAGGCGCAACTTGTCCATCTTCCTCTCACCCTCCGATGCCATGGCTTTACACGGCAGCGTCGCTTTGAGAAAAACTTCTGAATCTTGGCTCTTAGACCTGCAATTGCCTTGAAATTGGGACTCTATAGATATGGTCGTGTAGGCCATGATAGGGGGTCTTAACGAAGGCCAAAAGAAATACTGCGCAAAGAACCTGCCACGGGAGTCCGCCTGCGGCTTACCTGGTCACAGCTTCGCTTGGTCTTGATTTCTACCTGTGTTGGCGGCGTCAGGGTGCCTGTAGAGGCCTGGTAAACCAACCAGCAACGCACGGAAAGTTCTGGACTGAACGCTGAACGCCTGCAAGCAGAGGTTGTAGGACAGCAGATAACAGCAGCCACGTGAAGGAACGAATTCATCGCATGGGAGATTCGAAAAAGCCCTTCAGGAATCCAAATATCGTAGTTTCCGAAGCACTATTTAAACCCTAAACCCTAAACTCACCCCAAAATATGGATCCCAATATCCTATTATCCCAAGATTTCTGGCAAATATGGGACCCTCGTTGAACTTGTTGATAGGACATGTGCGGGCTACAATCAGGATCAGCCTCATGCACAAGAGCAGCTCCCCAAACTCTGCACAGAGGCGCAGGAAAGTCCTTTTAGGTTTTACTTACGGACTTCTGGTACTCTGAGGGACCTGCGAGTTCAACGACATTTTATATCCCCTAATGATCCCATTGTAACCCTGATGTAGCCCATTAGAATTATGAGTTACCTAACCTTCTTGCAACTCCAGGGTCCCTCAATATAAGAAGTAGCCTAAACCCAAAACCCCTAAAAAGATAATCCCCAAACCCAAGACCCCTAAACCCTGGAAGAACTGGTAGTTTCCCAAAACTGGGGGACCCCAATATACACCCTTGTATACTATAGTCCTTATTATGGGACCCTCCCCCCCCCCTCACCCCCCAAAAAAACAACGAATTTTGGGAAACCCACAATACAACCCTAAACCCTAAGTAGTAGTTTCCAGTGTCTTTTCCATTATCCCTACATTACCCATATTCCCTATATAACCCCAAAAAGGATCCCTAACTTGGGGAAACCACCAACTCAACTGTAAGCTGCCTCACTGTAAGCTGCCTCAGCCCGAGCCAGCTACCATGCGCCACCCTAAACCCTAAACCCTAAATCCTAAACCCTAAACCCTAAATCCTAAATCCTAAACCCTAAACCCTAAACCCTAAACCCTAAATCCTAAACCTTAAATCGCGCCTTGTGGCTGACGTCAAAGCCACCTTTGGACTGCTCGCTGAGGGAGCCCGAGACCCACCTGCCAGACTTGGGGGTTGAGGTTTTGGGGTTTATGAGTTTTAGGGGTTTAGGGTTTAAGGGGTTTGGGGTTTAGGGGTTTAGGGTTTAGGACTTCCCCCGAGCAGTGAACCCCCTAACCCCCATAATAACACACATTTCTCCTATGATACCTAAGGGAGGAGGGGATGACCTCAGTGCTTCTCTTGGGTTGGGCCCAAGGTGTGGGATGATAAGAAGATTACGGCAGTTCCCCTGAGAAATTTGCGAGTACACCCTTTTTGGGGGAGTGGACTCTAGAGAACGCCCTGACTCCTAGCCGCCGGTCAACGAAAGTAGCTGCAGCGCCACAAGTAAACACCCACAGAAATCTTCACGAGTGAACCCTAAACCCTAAATATTATATGGTAGTGTCCATTTTCTTTTCCATTATTACAGAGTCCCTCATAAGACCTTTTCGGCGAAACCAAACACCCACTAGGCCATGGCTCTGGGTTGGAAGAGCCAAGGGCTGGAGAATTCTCGTGAAACCCTTCTTGCTGCTTGTTAATGCGGAATACGGGAAGATATGTTATGTAATCCCTGTATAATCCCTGTATAGTCCCTGTACAATATATGGCCTTACTCCCGATTAACATTACAAATCTAAGGAGGATTGCCTCCACTTCTAATCCAAAGCAAAGCCTTGTCCATGAGCCAGCAATAAAAAGCCACCTCCACTTGTTCTCTACTGCGTCTTGCACAGCACGGTCTGTCACAATGGCGGCATGGGACCTTGCATGGGCGACAGGCCATAGTGAAGACTCCCAGTATCCTAAAGCCCTATAATACTCCCCTATATAGCCCGTTAAGGAGGGGTCTACTTGGAGGGTCAGGGGCCCGGGGGACCAAGTATACGTGTGGACCCCTAGAAAACACAACAGAAGCAGCCTGAGGTATCTTCATCCCTAACCAACTTACTCGGTCCCCCTGCAAGGCTTGGGGGAGTTCTTTGATTCAGGAACTTCTGAGAATATGTACATATATATATATGTATACATCTATGTTTTGTCGGGGGGTGGTCTGTACCAGAAGAATCAAGCTCCAGAGTGGTAGGATGTGAGGCGCGTTCTCTAGCCCTACACCCTAAGACCCGAACCAAAGAACCGCAAACGCCAGCCTCCACAGTGAGATAAGGTGCTCGAACTGGTTGCAGACGCTATCCGCCTGCAAACACCATGTCTGAACCAAGGGCTCACAGTTTAGGACTCGGGGTGCTGGGTGGTACTTTAAAGGACCCTGAAAACTGTTTATGAATAGGTTCTTTGTACAGCAAAAGAAGGAAATTGCTGATTATCCCAAAGTGCCCCAGCTAGTAGCTGCTTCTGAATGGTAATTTCGGTTTGGTCTGAAGAAGCATATAAATGACCCAGTAACCTGCAAGCTGCACTATGGCCTGAGCACTCCCAACATAATGCCTATACATACCCTCTTACAATGTAGATTCCATTGTCTTTTCCATTACCCCGACACCACCCTATATAATCCCTATATAACCCTCTAAACTCCGTGCGGACACGGCGAGCTGTAACTTGAAAACAGCGTAATGACCAACAAGTTGTCCCTTCATAGTCCCCCCTGCAAACCCTAAACTCTTAACCCCTAAACCCTAAACCCAAATGCCAAAAACCCTAAACTCTTAAACCCTTCAACCCAAGACCTTTAAACCCTAAACCCCCATCATGTGGTATCTCCGGGATCTGGTTCAGAGCCTGGTCCCAATGCATACTCTTTGTAGTGTAGCAGTTTCCATTTTCTCTGCCACTATCCCTACATAACCTGATATAACCCCTATATACGTAATCCCTATAAAACCCCAGGCAACCCCCTATAACCCTATATATGCCCCTATATAATCCTTATACAGCCCTGCATAACCATATAGCCCTACATATTCCTAGCCGACCTGGAAGTCAAAGGCCAGCTTCATCGACGCGAAGAAGGACGCCGCTGCGCGTCCCCACTCGCGTGACCGAGGCCTTTAGCTAGTAGGGCTGCCAGCATGTAGAGCTCATATAGGGTTAGGTAGGGTTATATGGGGTTACATAGGGTTATATAGGGATATACCGTGGTATATAGGGGTCAGGGAAAGGAAAAGGAAAACAGGAAACAGCTGTATTATAATAGGGTAGGTTTGGGGTTTATATTGGGATTCTAGAAGCATGAAATGCAATCTTGAGAGCGTAGTGACATGCCACTATATGTATAATGTAAGCGAGGACGGCAGGGGTTACAAAGATGGCAATCCACTTAAGGGCAACACTGAACGAGAACAGGAATGCAAGCAGTTCTAGTTGTGAAGGGAGAACGGTGGCGAGGATAGACCTGAGAAATAATCACAACTCTGCTTCAGCAGTGAACAAGGAAGCATGACTTTTTGGGCTTCAGTAAAGCTACAGTCCCCCTTAGGTAGATGAACTATTGCTTTGGGTATATTATAATAAGATCCCCATATACCCCATGCTCTACTTAAGGGGGACTATACCCTAAACCCTAAACCCTAAATAGTAGTTTCCATTTTCTTTTCCATTGTCCCAATACAACCCTATACATGCTCTACTTAAGGGGGGATCTCGGATCATACTCTTCTGAAAGGGAGAGCTGCAAGTTGACATCAAAAACAAACTGAGTGACAGCAGCAAGCCCTCTAAGATGGTTTCCCAAAGTTATAAAGGGGGTTATTCTAGGGAATATAGGTAATATAGGGATAATGGAACAGAAAATGGAAACTACTATTTAGGGTTTTGGGTTTTGGGTTTATCTGGGAGTTTCCCAAAATTAGGGGTACCTTCTTGGGGCTCCCTATAGTAAGGCTCTTAGTATATTGGATTCTAGACTGGGGTCTCCCTATTTAGTTCTGAAAGCTACCGCATGGGATTTTCACCAAATCTGGTTCTCTTAGGGACTCCCGGGCCCTGGCATGCGGAGAGTATGAGGCCCCCCTTTGGGTGCTAAAGGCGCATCTAAAAAGCCCACCCACCCCAATGAACAAAGGTTCCCGATTGTGAACATAGATATGTTTATTAGGGGATGGAGGTGTTTAACTGCTTGGTGTCAGGGGAAGGGGCCCTTCGGATGGGAATGAGCCACTGAAGCTGTGGCCCTGACAAAGCTTTTATTGGATCTCCTTTCCCGCCCAGGCAGGATTGGTCCCAGATGGCCAAGAGCTTCTGCCTGAGAAGTCTGCAGGCTACGTCTTGAGATGGGTTTAGGGTATAGGGTCCCAAACCTAAATCAAGGATTGCCCCTGCAGGAGCATAGCAGGAATTACACTCAGGTAGTGTAAGGAACCTTTCCATCAACCTGGCTTTAAGGGCTCAAGTCCGAAAAAGTCATGACTAAGAATCTTCAAAACGTCACCATTATGAGATGTCCTCATGACTTTTTCCGGCTGCGCTCTTGGCTTTCAAGTCTAAGATGCTCACCCGATAGGCGTGTGGCTTTAAACCATGTTTACAAATGATGTCTTCCTCTGCTGAAGTCCGCTTTCGGAAGGTTCCTTTCATCCACCCGATTTAGAGATGACCCTGTTCAGGACTTTAAGCCCCCGGGAGGATGTCGAAAGCGGTGCCCCCAGTTTAGTACCCTGTACTTCATCGGGCAATTTCTAGGAATTCGTACGGGGGATCTCCTGTTTAGATCCTCCAAGGTATCTCTGCCCCTCATTTGACGCCAAAACAACGGGTGAATTTTGGCGGGTGCCCTGGTGCAGCATTCCTTCCTCAACTTTATAGCAGTTTTAGGTTTAAACTCTGAATCTTAA